AAAAAAAAAAAAAAAACTAGTATCTGCAAAAATGCCAAAATCCCCCATAACAAAACCCTAGCCGCTAGCGGATAAGAACTAGCACCAGATACCATCAGCCATGCTGCAAAGCCTCCCCTGCGAGATCATCCGAGATATCCTCGGCAGATTACCCGTCAAGTCACTCCTCAGACTGAAAGCCGTTTCGAAGTGGTTGAAAGCCGCCATCTCCTCCGATCCCGACTTCCTCCGTCTGCAACTCCGACGATCGAAGCTGCAGAAGCTCTTCTACCGACGGGAAAAGGACGGCAAAGGCGTCAGCGCCACCTTCCCACGTTTCCACCTCTTCCGGGCGGCGGACCAGGGATTCCAACTCGCGGCGGACTATGATCTCGGATGCCCCGGCAGCCAGTGCTGCACCTACGTCGCGTTCGACTGCGATGGCTTGCTCCTCATGGCCAGCCATTGCGCTTCGGTCTTGATCTTGTGGAACCCGACCACTCGAGAGGAGATGATGCTTGACCTACCGAGCGAGTTTGCCGCCCTTGGTCCGCGATTCTGTTATGGTCTCTGTTACGATCCGGTCACCATGAGCGGCCTCAAGGCTGTGGTTATCTCCGACGATGACAACCACTATGCGGTCTACTCATTCGGGAGCCGGTCTTGGTCGGAGACCATAGGGATCCCACCTGATTTGCGCGGGTATAGCTTTTGGAAGGGGACATTTGCGGATGGTGCTGTGTTTTGGGTCGTGCAGAGAAGAGCTGAGTTTAAGGATGGTAAAATTGTTTGCTTTAATGAGGTTAAGGATTGTAAAATTGTTTGCTTTGATCCGAGGGATGATGAGGGAAGTCTGTGTGTTGTACCATGGCCGGAGAACGTGAAGGAGGACTGGAAGGTTGACCTGGTTTCTTTGGATGGTTGTTTGTGTTTGTTCTGTGTGGATGGGGATTGTCTACGCATCTGGATGAAGGAAAAGGGTGTGCAGGGGGTTTCTTGGAGTGAGCTGATGGTGGTGGAGAACATTGGGAAACTTGGGCCTGTAAAGTTGCTCAGTCCCGTGTGTTTCGTCGGGAAGAATGATACTGATTTATTGCTGAAATTGGGAGTTGACGCTGTCCCGAAGTATGTGGTCCCGAGTGATGCTGCTTTATTGCGGAAATCAAAAGTTCGGCCTTTAACGAAGTATGTGGTGTATAGCCCTCGGAAGAAGGAGTTTCGTGAATTCCAAGACACTCTTTGGTGCAATTACTGGAGCCCATGCCTGCAATCTCTGATGTTCCCTGAAAAGGGGGAAAAGTAACTGAAATGGCTGAAATGGAAGAGAATTGTGTTGTCCCATAAAAGGGGGAAAAAGGAAGTAAAAGGATGAGAGATGGATAATGTTGTTGTTTAGAGGCTGACTTGTTTCCTTATTAGGACTGATTGGTGATTTCTCTTTTTTCTTACTTTGGTCATTAGGTTTTGAGTCCAATACTTTGCGTTGGATCTTTGAAGTAGCTCAATGTTTTGTCAAGGTTGTTGTCTGTTGTTGCTTATTATGGAAATGTGGCAATCTTAATGTGTGTAGCTGTTGATGTTTTCACTAAGTTTTAGTTTAAAAGCCATAAGACATCTTTATTGTGCATTCCTATTTTCTTCTTTTGTTTCTTTATTCCTTGATTAGATTGCCATATTCTTCTTTTGAGAGAAAAGTTGTGTGCAATTTATCAATCAGACTAATCAGTAATTCTGTCCTCCCGTAATTTGGTCATTCGGTTTTTTCAGTTTAGCTCCAATTTTGCAGCTGTTTTGGTTTGACAGTTTCTGATAATTTTTTGATGGCGTTCTCTGGTGTTGGTGACACCTTACCAACTCGGTTTTCTGCAGGTTTTTGAACAGCTTTGGTCCGTTTATTGAACATCGACTGTCGATCCTTTTAATTTTTGAACCCTGATAGTAAAATATTTTGTTGAGGCTATTGAATTTTGTCTTTCTTAGTTGTTGATCATTGCTGATGCTTATTGAAAATGTGGCCATGGACTGAGGATTTGATTATCAGTCTTCAAAATGTGTACAGTTGTGTGACTTCTTCAGCAATTTCTTTATTTGATTGTGCAGTAACAAAAGAGCAGAATCCTATATGCTTCCTTAGATGCAAAGATCAATACCTGTGCGGGTTTCCAATCTACAATTTGAATTCGCTGCTTTCATGATAGGGATTGCAAACGAGTCGAGCCGTGTCAAACATTAGACTTGTCGAGCTATATTCGAATTTTTCTGACTCCTGCTCTGAGCCGGTCTTGCTCAAGGCTCNGATTTTTCTCTACTTATGCGAAGATTTCAATTAAAAAATGTCTAATTATGGGTATCAAGATAATTTTGTGTAATTTCCGTATGCAATAAAGGAAAAGGCAGGAGAAATTATTGTAAAGAAAAGCAATAAACAAGAAATGGAACATTTGGGAAAATGGATTTAGAATAGTGAAATTAAAATGAAAAATATAAAACAGGGTTGCGGAAAACTGAGAAACTAAAAAAATACGATCACGATGGGACTCGAACCCACAATCTCCCGCTCCGGAGGCGAGCGCCTTATCCATTAGGCCACGCGATCTTTGTTAAAAATTTTATCCGTTTAATAACTATGAAACATCAAACCTAATATTACTGCTTTCATTAAGATTGTAATGTTAGTACGACTTCATTAAGTTTGCAATCACATGTTTGATATGTTGCAAAATGTATCACAGCCTAATAGAAAGAGTGACATATTGTGAGACTTTTTAAGTAAAAATAAGAAATGGTTATACTTAAAATAAGTAAAACTGTAAAAGTTAATGGTTTTTCTCAAATTTGCAAATGAAATCAATTTTTTTTTCATGCTTAGAAAGATTTTTCTCACATGCTCATTATCAATCTTTCTAAGTTTATGGCATTCGAAAGTAATTTTGCCTACTTTTTCAATCATCAAGTGGTTCAAAGTGGATTTTCTCTTTATAGAACTAAAAGCGTTTGTTTTTAGCTACTAAGCTACATAGAATGATAGAATACAAAACCACTATTAGGTGGAACATTTCAACTTACCATTGATTGCTTTATTGAGTTTTTTAACCGTTACATCAATACACATTCATATGGATTTGTGCATGCATGTATTGAGTTCTCAAACCACAACGAGGTAGCTCAGCTCATCAACTAAATGAACTTCAAACGGGCTCGAGCCAAGTTTCTCGTGTTTCGTATTCGATTTTCAGCTCGAGTCTTGACGAGTCGAATTAGAGACAAAAAATAAATAAATAAATAAAAATATATGTTCTCGAACCATAACGAGCTAGCTCGGCTCGTTAACTAAGTAAACTTTAAACACACTCGGGCCTTACAAGCCAAGCTGCTCGTGTTCCGTTTCACAACTCTAATTATTGACAAAAATTCACATATTTTCTTAAAAAAAATTATATGAAAAAATCAAAATGTTTGACTGAGGGCCTCATGAGGCTCACTCTTTCATCATGCCTTATTTCAACATTCCAAAACCACAATACAAAAGCACAATTAAAAAAAAAAAATGTCAGAAATCAAATAACATTAAACTCCTATTACTCAATCTGAAGAGGAAATTAACTCCTCATTCTTAGCCTTGTACCTGTACAAAATACGCTTCTTCTTGAAAATCCCGTTCTCAATGGTGATCACGATTTTTCCAGGCTCTTTGTTCTTGAACGTGTTGCGAATAGGTTCGTCTTGCCAGCTTATTTTTCGGCCCTTCTTCACGATCACAGTATACGAGCTTTCGTCAGTCGGCACGAATTCCTCCTTATAATGTACATCCCACCCTGTTATAGTCAGGTCCCATATCAAAGTATTTCCAACCTGTCGCCAAAATGTCGAAAATAAAGTGAAAAAAAAAAAGAAAAGAAAAAATAAGCTAAATTCGACTAGTTTACGGGGATTCACGAGTAATCTAGTCTCCAAGTACGACACTTCACGGTAGATTACGCTAGCAAGTGAAAAAATTAGTTAGAAACGCGTTTAGGTTCAAAACGCGCGGCTGAACAAGAAAAAAAAGTGATCAAACACCAAGTTATGGCCTTATGGGGACTGATTTGAATTTTATTTTATTTTTATTTTTATTTTTATTTTTTTACCTCGGGAGCCGGGATTTCGACAGTTCCAGTTGCACCGGCTTTGATAACGACCTCGTGAGCAGAGTCTTGAGTTGAAAAATCCGGGTCGTTTTCCATTCTTAACCCTCCATACGAGATAGGGATTTCCTCTGCAGCAATGTACCTGCAGTTTGTACAATTTTATGCAAGTTTCAATGGCATATATTATATGTAGGTTGCGTTTGGTAAGAATATAATCTAGCTTATAGCATAATTGATTAGCTTATAAACTTTCTGTATTCAAATAAGTTTGGATTGGTATGACAAGCTTTTCTAAATAAAAGTTTCATTTGGTAGCTTTTCAAATAAAAACTCATTGAAATTTTTATTTCAGCTAGCTTATCAACTAATTTTACCAAACACTTTTATTATTAGCTAGCTTTTCAACTGCTATCAGCTATAAATTCGATATTTAGTGAAAAGCTATAAGCAAGCTTCACAAGAAACTACAAACACGAAATTCTGCTTACTTGAGAAGTGTGTCGGTAACCCTCGACGGGCGGCTGAAAACGAACTTGCTCTTGGTTCTTTGCATCAAGAAAGGCGACAAGAGCGCATTGAAAGCGTAATACCAAAACGGCACGTTGATGAAAATCTTTTGTTTTCGAACAAAAAAAAAACCGAACCCAAATAAATTCAACGATCAGCATAAGAAAAAAGGTAAACAAGAGCTAGCTAGCATCACAACAAAAAAAAGTAAAAAACTCACGTTTTTCGCCACGAACTCTGGGTAATTATCCTGAAAAATCCCGAGAGCCCGTTTTGTCGCGTGCCTGAGATCTTTCCTCGACGGCCACGGCGCGTTCTTCAGGTCGTTGACTTGAAGAACCGTCGAAATCCCTCCCGGGAGAAAATCGAGCCTCGAGACCTCCTTCTCCATTAACTGCATCCTCCACCGAAGAAACTTCTCCCGACAACCCTCATCACCGAACGTTTTCTCGTAAATTTTCTCGTCCGCGAAAATTCCGTACACATTGTAGCATATCGGGTGGCTCTCCCGATCCTTCCCCTTCACGAACGCAACCGAGCCGAAAAGCTCGTCGACCATCAAATCCTCGCCCATAATCGAGTCGATTTTATTCGCCTTTCGCCAGATGAGCGTTTTTTTAAGCATCTCGAGGGCCTCGTCGGTCTTGAATTCTTGGGCTCGGAGGAACTTGAGGAGGAGCGTGTTTGTTCGCTCGTCTTTCGCGCTCGGAAGCAGGGGAACGCCCCAAAGGGAGACGTTGTGGCCTGGCTCGGGGGCATTTCCGTCATTTTCGGATGATGACGTGGCGTTGGAGAGGATGTTGTGCTCGAGTTTCGAGCGGAGGTCGATTAATGCCTTCTTTTCGGAATCGGTTAGGTTGGGGATCGGTGGAGTGATCTCGCCGTCGTCGTCGTCGCTCGATCGCTCGTTTTTCGAGGCGATCGGTGAGGAAAGTGTCTCGTACGTCTCGATGATTTCCTTCACGTGAGGCTTTTCGTTGGTCTCGTCTTTTTTGTTGGCGGTTTGGTTCTTGCCTTCGTTTTCATTTTTGTTTTCGTCGGTAGTTTTTGTTTCATTGATGCTTAGGTTCTTGGTTTCTTCGTTGGCTGCTGCCGCCGATTGGTCGTTAGCCTGAGGCTGAGTCTCTTTGGCATTGTCTTCTTTACCGTCAACAGCCATTTTCTTCTATATATATATATATATATTTTTTTTTTTCTCTGAGGTTAGGTAATAATTTACTCTGACTACTTTTTGTTTTTTCAGTGAAAATATGAAAAGAAGAGAGAAAAAGAAGAGAGAAGGATAATGATCCTGCATTCTCTCTCTTCCTCTGCTTATGTTTTGGTAAACCACAGGTCCACAGCCATAGACATGCAACGGTTAATGCTATTTTTATTTTTATTATTTTTTTTTAAAAAAATAGTCCATCATATCCATCGAATCCTCTAACTAGGGTAGTTAGTTTTCTGAACCAAAATGGTAGAACGATTATTTGGATTTTGGATAGCGAGGATGTACATATATAAGTTTCAGGGAAATGCTAGGGGGATGGTTCCGTTGCGTTTTCTAGCCATAGATATACATGTAATCTAGTGATAGGTAATTAATCCAACGGTTAAAAACACAACGGAACCATCCCGTTAGCATTCTCCTAAGTTTTAAAAAGAACAATAGATATCTACATGTTCGGACATAAAAAAATTTAGTTTTGTTGAATTTTTTTAGTTTAATTTGTTTAATTTTGAAAAAGGTAATATGGTTTGCTGTTAGTGGGTATAGTAAACTAATATTTAATATAAAATAATTAAAATGGATTTGATGTAAAAGTAAGAAATAGATGATTTGAAGTGATGGTTAGTTAAAATAATGTGATTGAATGAATAATGAATTAAAGGTGATGTGGTGTATATAAATGATTGATTGATATTTTTTTAATTATATTGATGATATTGATAATAGTGAGGGTGAATTAAAAAAAATGGTTAGGTTAAAATGATAAAATTTTTCTGAAATATTTTGTATTAGCCAACACAAATCTCCAATAATAAGCTATTATAATCCTCTATTTAGCTATTCGCTGCTAATGTCATCAACCAAACAAACAGTATGATTGAAGGACTTTCCCATTTCAGTAAAACGAGTCGAAATATCTATTACAGTCAATAGAACTTTCCCATTTTCTTGGCAAAACGAACCAAATAAGCTACTACAATCCGATATCAACTATTATTGCAATCAGCTATCCACTAATAGCTGAACAGCCTGTATGCCTTTCCCATTTTTGGTAAAACGGGGTCAGCAGTTACAGTTACTAACCGTTAAATTCGTCGGCCTAACCGGATTTTAGTAAATATCCATGAAAATAAAAGGCAAAATTAAGATCTTACAAATGCTCACTTGGTCAGTTTTTTGCTTTTTGTTCCTTCTCAAGTAAAAGATGCATTTATGCAAGTTTCATAAGAAAGAACAGACATAACATCAACGCGGACCGATGAGCACATGAGTACTTTAAGCATACCTAAAGAAATTTCAGTGAAGGCCAAAAAATTTCAGGCGAAATATATCTGTTTCAAGTCTTGGAAAATTCACAATCGTGTTTTTTTTTTACATTCTTTATGATCATCATCATCATCATCATCATCATCAACAGATTGTGTTGCATTCTTACACTTGTGAAGAGGCAACAGGTGTGTCGGGATTTGCTCCCCATTCAGTCCACGACCCATCATACACTGGAACATTTGTCTTCCCTAATCGATGAAGGCCCTGAAAAAATGCAAGAAAATGAAAAGAAGATTTTTTTAAGGGGTTATTAGTAATTCTGGAAGATACTTTGGATTTTCTTGCAACTAGACCAGACCCAAATGGAACTTTTTGCAATTAACTCATGAAAGGATATAATGCGGGAAGAAATTGTTTCGAATCAAACACAAATAAGACAATGAAATATAAAACACTATTGAGACTTGAGGGATAGAGAGAGGATAATCAAGAATAAGGTGCTTTTGATAGTTTGGAGTTTACGTTAGAACAAAACGAGAATTTAGACTCACCAATGCAAGAATACACGCAGTCACACCAGTACCACATGACGTCACTATAGGGCTTTCCAAAGCGATTCCTGCAAAAGATTTAATTTTTTTGTCAGATTATTTTTTAAGCCAACAGTACATAAAAGAAACAAATTGTAAACCCCAGAGAATAACCGAACTGTATTCTAATTCTGTTTCCAAGTCAAATATCACAATTTTTTTTTTCCAAATGCAGATAATATAGTAAAGGAACATTTCTAACCTGCTTCTTCGTATTTCTTTTTGAGTTCGTCTGCAGGCAAGAGTGTCTGTGAGCCATCTAACATCTGCAAAGGGATAAAAATACATAGTTCTTAGGGGCGAGTTAAAATAATCATAGGTTATATAGTTACAGGCTTCTCTTTCAACCTGGGCAAAGGGGAGACATTTGCTTCCAGGAACATGGCCACTTCTTATTCCTTTCCGAGGCTCTGGTGCTAACCCGTCAAATCTGTGAACGAAAAAACAGATTAAACTAGCTGAGACGTAAAAATTACGAAATCAAAATTTACCTTCAACTACAATCTAATTCAATCTTCAGTATTGTTCAACTGATGAGTAGGGATATTTATATAATCATTAAAGCTAATATTTCTGGAGTAAATCTGAAGACATCATCCATTAGCAATACTTCAAATCTGAAGACGCCATTAATAGAACAACATATAATAAAACACAAACCTAGCCTTTGAGCGAGCATCAACATGCTGATGTGTTTGCTCCTCAATATTTTTCTGAACCTGAAAAAAAAAGAAACTATAACCTAAATGTACATGCATATTAATGTGTTGTGAAACAAATGAACTACACGGGACTTGTACAAGCTTTACAGCTTATAGTAATAAAACAATAAATTAGCATCAACAAATGAACAACACGGGACTTGTACAAGCTTTACAGCTTATCGTAACCAACATCTCGGTACATATTACAGTTACTATTTTTTATTCAAGAGTCCAAATCATTTATCACATTAGTCAATAGTCATATAGATGCAAACAAATGCCAGAGAGAAAGTGCATCTGTCTGTCAGGTTATTGAGCAAGTCAAGGAGACTACAATGTTAAACCTTACAGACATTAGCTTCATTTTCATATAATTATTGCATGTAATACTTTTCTTAAAAGTCCTAATCATATAGTTGACACATTTTCTTTATGTCACAGCATTTAACCAGATCCTAAAAACCGGACCCCTATAGGACAATGTCCAATAATCATGACGAATGAGTCTATACATACCAAAAAAAAAAATCAAAGAAGTACTTATAGAAAAAATCATTTGTAAGCAAAAATAAGAAAACCTGTTCAAGTGACCACACGAGATGTTTCTGGAAGTGGGTCTGGAAAGTAATTGGTCCAACCTGCAGATATCAAGTACTTAATTTATCCTTGAAGCAAGTCAAGCATAATGGTAACTTGAAATATTATGAATTTGAAAAATAAACATCATGAATTTGAAAAATAAAAATTTACACGGCTTACCCGCTGCCCTTGGTATACTTTCTCAATCGCTTCACTAGCTGCACTAGCTTTCAAGATAGCATCGCTCGAAGCACTTGATTCAACATCATACCCTGAAGCCCGCCATCTCGGGAGCCCGCCATCCAAAACCCAAATTCTGTCATGCCCGAAAACTCGGAACATCCTGTTTATTGTATTAAATCATATACCGGATTCATTATCTTTGTGTCTCGAGTAGAAAAACTTCTTGTTTGCAATCAAGTTGCATAAGTTGAAAAACCCACCACCAAACACGAGCTGCACTGAATATTCCCTTTCCATCATAAACCACAAGGCCATCTTTATTTTCAATGCCAAGAGCAGAAACAGCAGCAGCAAAAGCTTCTTCGGATGGCAGCATATGCGGCAGCTGCATACAAAGATTATAGACAAATTTTATATTATTAAAATTTAAATGATTAAATTAAGTATGCATTTAAATGAAACTTTCAACACATTTAGGACAGTAAGGTCGCGATTGGATATAAAACTGAAGGGAATTTTTTAAAAAAAGTTTGAGAGGACGAAATTTTTTTGAGATTGTGAAATGACATAAGATAAAAGTAATGACTGGAGTCGATGTAGTATAAAGATACTAAAATAAGGATTGGTAATTAGAAATATGTGAGTGGATGAATAGTAATAATTTGTTGGAAAATGCCCAGTAATAGTAGATTTCTATTTTCAAATTGTGTTGATGAGATTTGGGGGGAAATATGAAGTGGAACGAATAGTACATATTCTCAAATATATTCGATCAAATACCAACTTCAATGAAATAAAATTTTTTGGACCAAATGAAAATGAAACAATTTTTATGTCCAATCGCCACCTCATGAATGATCCTTCTCTTAAACTCAGTAGGTCTACAAGCTACATGCGAGTCAACTACATTTAATTCCTCGATGATGTATTTTGTCCAATACTGATACCGTTTACAGAAAGTAAGCACCTTCTAAACATTAGTATTACTGCAAATAATCTAACTTGCAGATGTACAAGTTCCATGCAGCAAACAAGTAAAAAGGATAATAACCTTTTGCAGAAGAAAATCGAAAAATAATACTCCCTCCTATTTTTAATAAGTGTCGTTTTGAGAAGTTGCATAGTAATTAAGAATTTTTTTTGCCAATAATAACCCTCCCTCATTAATGAGGATAGAAATGAATGTTTTGAGAAAAGATGAAGAGTGAATATAAAAAGACGTAGTGTATTTATTAGCTAGATGAGGGTAATAATGGATAAATACGTACAAAAGATCCAAAACGTCATTTATTTAGTTAATTGTTGATAAAGCCAAAATGACATTTAAAAAAAATAGGAGGTAGTACTATACTTGTAACTGTATTAATAGGAAATTTATCTAATAGCTAGCAACTCCGCCAGAAGGAGACTTCTTACATTTGTGGTACGATCTGCTATGCCATCGACATCAAAGAAAAGAGCACCTGGAATGTGTGCAACCTGCTCAAAAAATAAATAAAATATCAGCCTAATAATAATAATAATAATAATAATAATAATAATAATAAACTGTTAAAGTTATATGCTTAGGTGAGGCCATATAAAAGAAAAGAGCATCATGTGGCATTCCAATCAATACCAAGCATATATCAAATGTATCTATTTGTGCAACTTGAACATTAAGTATAGAAATACGAAAAGTATAGATCAATATTGGTAAATTAGTTTCTGAAGTTCATTGTTCTGAAATTCATTGTTCTTGGAAGCAACAAAATGCAGATATAATCAATAATGAAGCTGCATCATCACCTGATACTCTTGAAGTGGATTTCTCTTTTCATCAGGCATGTACCAAGATGCATCCAACACCTAGAGATAGTTAAAGCCAATGCATATAAGATAACATACAACTGAGAAGTTATAGAGAACAACATACTTCTCAAGTAAATTTGAAATAACTTTCAATATTTACTCATGAATCATCCCAAGTAAATTGGGGAAAAAATNAAGGCAGATTGAGGAGATCAATATGGTTATGCATTTAGAGCGTCCAAAAGGGAACAAACACCGATTCTTCAAAATCATAAAAATGAAAAAACAAAATCCTAATATTCACCAAAAAAAAACATTGCATACAACCACACTTATATTACACTATCTGATTTATCTCATCATATGCAATTCATGCATCATGAGAAATACAATAATTGTACGCGACTTGGAAAATATGGTTTACTCATGTGGTTTTAGTCCAAAGCAAATATGTAGACCTTCACGTCAGGTTCTCGGAGGTTGGCATGGAGCCAGTCAACTGAAACAACAGGCTCATTAGTCGACAAGGACTGTGTGGAGAATGAAGCCTGTGACGCGACTGCTGATGAAGATATGCTACGTGAAATACACCTTGGAATTTTATATGTCGAACATGAAGAAACTTGCCACGAGTGAAAAGGCCTCTTCTGCTAGAAAAAGATAAATACTCTGATAATATTAACACAATTAAATAATTCTTCCAGTCCCTAATCGACATAAGAGTGTGTAATGTCCCTTTAAATATCAGAAACTTTCACTGAATATTGCAATTCCCATATGTATCATACATTCAGACTAGTCTCTCTCTCTCTCTCTCTCTCTCTCTCTCGACATTATAAAATATTAAACGAGTAAACAATTTCAACTCAAAGAGCAATATCAGTGCAGAGGCTTAACTTAGTAACCAAAAACCCAGTAAGGAAATAAAATGTCCTAAATTTCAAAGCTTTAGGACATCTTTCTGAGCCTTTTCATCACGAAGGAAACAAAGTACGCCAGACTCGATCCCATAACACAACCCACACATTTTTCACTACAGGCAGCTCATAAAAAAACCCATTTTTTTTCACTAACGAGAAACCAAAGCTAATCACGAATTTCCAATCCGACACAAATTTTCCATGAGTACCCACAATTGAACATGAATTACAAAATAAAGTAATGCTGTTTAACTGGAAAAAAGGGGAAATAAAACAGAGTTAATTACGAAATTGAATCGCAACTTCGCAAAGGAGCTTACGGCGAATAAAGAAGACAATAATTGGGATTTTTGCAAGAGCGATGAAGGTGAACGTGTAGATACACCTTGACGGACACGACAGGCAAAGAGGGCTTTGGACAAAACGGCGGATGCCATTTATGATGCGACTAAAAGTAAAGGCAACAAAATCAGACGGGCCGTAAAAAGACTGTAGCTTTTAGCCTTTTATCGTCTTCAGCTAATCGGCGGTGAATCAACCATCGAGGAAGGTTAAAGGACAAGGGTTTTGGCTACTCAGAGTGGACTTTGTGTTTGTAGTGTAGTAACGGAAAGCCACTAGAATCAGTAAAAGAGGTGACTATGTTCTTATTTTCACTCTCATAAAGTCTTATTAATATTATTATTTTTCACGATAATTATTTAACACGTAAATATATACAAAAACTTTTTATTTTAAATGAAAAATATTTAAAAGAAAATATTAAATAATTTTACATAAATTTTACACCTTATTGGGCTTATGAATCAGGCTTAACAGGCCCAAAATAGGCCACAAAATCTCATTGGAGTGGGCCTACATGCTTTGACAACAGTCCAAATTCACCTTCTTCCCCAACAAGAAACCCCCGCAACATCTCTCTGCAATTTATACACTGCAAATCCAACTCCATCAGCTCCACAGCGATTGCTTAAGGTGCGTATAATCTCTGCCGTCAAGCTCTTAGCTCTAATTCGTTTATGATTTAGTTGTTTCGTACATTTTGTTTAAATATTGATATGCATTAGCTAAACATTTGTCACATTCAAGAGAAGCCCTAGTGGATCCTAATTTATCGTTAATTTGCTAGCATTAGCTCGTTTTCCAGAATCCCTTTATGTACGATTTTCTCTAGGAGTGTCTCGTTTTTGTTATCTTCTTTGTTTGTACTTGTAGCCATGGGCCCATGATTTATTGTTTCTGTATTTCTGCCTTTTATTTTTCATTTTTTCTTTCTGGATGGAAATCCAAGATTTTACCTTGGTACTGTACAAAAATGTTTAATAATGTGTTTGGCTTTTGTGTGGTTGAATGTGTGTGTGTGTGTTTTGGAATTATTTCTGGGAATGGCCTTGTATTTTTCTGGTCTTTCTATTGAAATTAGAAGTCGAGGTTTTTGGACTGGAGAGTTGTAAAGACTGTTTGTTGAATGCCACAAAGAATTCTGCTGTTCTTGTTCTCTCTATCTCTCTCATGGGATGAAATTTTACTCGTAACAATCTGAACAAGCTCAAATAAGTAACCTAGCCGGATGACTTTTCTGTTGACTAAATGAATGATTTGGAAAACCATTTATTGTGCCCTAATTCTAAACGAACGAATTTAAATACTTTCTTGCTCGAAATATGAACAAGCAAAAGAGTAAAGTGCTAGTTGAGCTTGAGCTTGAAAGCCTCAGGTTCAGTTTGACTCGGATCTCAGTTGGATCACATTGTTTACAACACTACTTCACTCGTCCCCGAAGCTCGTTCCTGATGTATATAATGCTTGCGCTTTAGTGTGGCAGCATGGAGAGTTTCTGATTATTGCGCCTTCTTTGTTCATTATTCTTTTTATTTTTATATTTATATATTTATATATTCCCCTTCATTTACCTAGGTATTGATTTTTAATCAAGAAATCAATGGGTGACAGTCAGTACTCGTTCTCTCTCACCACTTTCAGGTATGCATAAGTTGGTTGCACAACTGTTCTATTGATCTATTTGTCTTGTCTGATTATCATTTATATTTATCATCATTGCAGTCCTTCAGGAAAACTTGTCCAAATTGAACATGCTTTGACAGCTGTTGGATCTGGTCAAACATCTCTTGGAATCAAAGGTCAGTTCTGTGTTCTCCAAGAGAAAACTTTAGTGATGAATTGGCTCTTGAATATGAATTAACAAGTGATAGGATCTAAATATGAGGAAGCATTAAGTCTCATTCTGTTTGACTTGTAGATAATGTGTAATTTTAATCTGCTAATTTCGTTCATTAGAATATTTTTGAAATCTTCTGTCACTGATTGCGTGTGTGGGTGGTTGCAGCTGCTAATGGTGTTGTTATTGCGACAGAGAAGAAATTACCATCCATCTTGGTTGATGAGACGTCTGTAAGTGTTATTTTATCTGCCTAATTGTTCTAAATTCTAATGGTCCTAAGCATGCATTTTCCTTTTGGTATAAACAAATGAATTGTAGGATATGCAATTTTATGTCATATGATCACTTCTTTCCTGTGATCACATCTTTTCTGGCATTGCTGTTTGTTAGGTAGTCTTCGAAACAAATAGTGTATCATAATATTTTTGTATTATTTTTGGTATCTCTCTGTGTTTTGGTTTTTCTTTTGACGGTTTGACTTGAATCCTGGGTGTATAAGTCAAATTTGGTGTTCCTTCACTTGGTTCATATTTTCCTGTTTCTCACGAGATTAGTATTCTGCGGATGCTTGAAACAGGTGCAGAAGATTCAGAATTTGACCCCAAACATTGGAGTTGTCTACAGGTTGATATATATTAATTATTTTATTCATGCAAATGTTGAATGTTCTGTAGTGAGGTCTCAAGCTATACATTTATCACCAAATATTGTTGTCCTCTGATGGTAAATTAAATGTGAGGCTTGTATCTTTGGAAAGTGTGACTAGTCTTGGTTTATCTTGGTGGAAATTCCATTTCATGCGCTCTTCCACGAGTGTTTAGTTGTTAGTGACACAATTTGCTGATCATCTGTCTATTTTCGTGTTTGTGCAGTGGTATGGGACCCGATTCTCGAGTTTTGGTGCGGAAAAGCAGAAAGCAGGCAGAGCAATATTTCCGATTGTACAAGGTAATTTATCTTCCTTGGCAGCATTTAACCACAATTTACGTCAAATTGCAAATATCATGGCTTGAGCTTATGCTGACCTTGATTTCTCTCAACCAAAAAAATAAAAAAAATAAAAATAAAAATCAGGAACCAATTCCAGTTACTCAATTGGTGAGGGAAACTGCGACCGTTATGCAGGAGTTCACTCAGTCAGGGTATGTAATACTTTTCACTGCACAAACGATGCTGCTTGAATGAGAGCATTTATCATTATCTATTGATTCTTTTTCTATATGTTTGCCAAAACTAGACGTTCAGGTCCTAAAAACCAGTTAACTATATCTTTCTACTTAGTATCATCTATTTTTTTTAATGGTGATTTGAATTTCGTTTAGGAAAGTTTATGTATCGCGAGATGAAATAGTTGATATTGCAATATTATGTGATCAAGCCGCAATCTTGAAAAATTAAGTTCATTGTGAAGATGCCGAGTCTTTTTAAACTGAAATTATCTGCTCACTATATCAGTTATTCGAGTGGCTTAAATCTTGGTGGAAAAATATACGTTACTTATACATTACATAAAGATTTACGTGTTACTTTTTATATCTTTATCCCTATTTGTGTGCATGTCTTCTCAAAACTTTTTTGCTTTTCGAATAGTGGCGTGAGGCCATTTGGTGTATCACTCTTGGTTGCTGGATATGATGACAAGGGTCCACAGCTATACCAGGTATCATTCTCATGTTTTTGGTGCTTTTGGCATATGAAAGCTTCTCCATTGCATCTTCACCTTTTTATCTTTTCCTTTTTCTTCTTTCGATTTTCATACTGATTTGTTCTTTCACTTTAAGCTAGGGGATACTGAAATTTCACTGCTAAATGGTAATTATCTCCTTATCTTCTGAAAATGTTACTCTTCTCTACTCTAGGTGGATCCTTCAGGTTCGTACTTTTCTTGGAAAGCTTCAGCTATGGGAAAGAATGTATCCAATGCAAAGACATTTCTTGAGAAGAGGTGGATTGTTATCTGTTTTGGCATTACATTAATTAATTAATTTTCAAAAAATCATCATTATCATCATTTATCATTAACTCGTTGCGACTTCCTTTCATCAAGTCAAACTTGTACTGTTATAGGATGATTGTAGTACTGATATCCAAAATCTATGGATGGAATTTGATATACCGCTGCCTATTAATTAGTTTGACTGGTTTTCCAAGGCAGAATACAAACAAAAAAACACATGCTTTTTTTAACAACTCCCAGTATTTTGACATACCCAACATTTGTTGCACATAACTGATTTTATGTTTTCTTATTATCCAACAAGGGGAAACAGGATTGATATTATTAAATCTGAGTTTAGTTAATGATTTTGCTACGTTCTATTTTGTGATAATTAAGTTGGTGGTTTGTGATAGGAGTAAAGAGTCTAGAAAATGAAATGAAATTTCATTTTATTTTAAAATGGTAACTAGAAACTTGAAACTTCTGCCCAACAAGTACTCTTGCCCAATAGCTACAGCTATTACAATATGATTATTATTGCTCACCCTTCTCTACTAGAGATCCTATATTTATATTTAACTGACATAATATAAAAGGTAATAAATAATAATAGTAGAAGCAAGATAACAATAATCTTCAAAAGATAATCAATCCAAATCCCAAAATCACTCCACAATTTGTAGATTTATTTATTATTCAATATACTTCCCATGATTTTTATGCCTTATTTCATGCGCTCCCTATCAGTCTGTTTTTGAAACTTTTTACATTTTTGCAGGTACACGGAAGATATGGAACTTGACGATGCTGTGCATAATGCAATTTTGACACTTAAGGAGGGGTAAGCAGATATTTTCTTCAAGTACTGCCAAACCTTAACTTAATATTTCTATATGCACACGTACACAATCAACACAAGGTTAATTATAAAAATGACCTTTGTGTTAAGCATATTTTAAGAAATTTCTGTCCTTTCACTATCGCAAATACCTGCAAAATTTCCATTATATGTTACACATTGTATCTCTCATTGGAGATTCTCTTTTTTTTCTTCAAAGTAAACAAAAATTCTAGGTGCTGTTGAATGGTTCTTTTGTTTTATCGGGAGAAAATAAATTATTATCACAATTTTTATTCAAAGGTGTAGTTTTGAAACACCCGTATGGCTACTGCTCTGTTTCTACAGATTTGAAGGACAGATATCTGGCAAAAATATCGAAATTGGTGTAATTGGCAATGACAAAATATTCAAGTGAGTTGTATTCCAGCTTTTGAGTATATAGGATATTATGATATGTGAGCTAAGCGAAATTTTAATGGTGTGTACACTATTTTTTTTCCCAGGATTCTAACTCCATCCGAAATTGAAGATTACTTGAAGGAAGTTGAATAGTTTCAATCCCCGACTTTTAATTTCTGTTTTCGGCTGAATGCAGTTGTTGGTTTTGTTTGTATAACCAATACATCTTGATCTNACAGCCTGCAGCTTATTTTTATATGAAATGTTGGAGTTGGACAGAATATTGTGAAGAATAACGTTAAGGAGTGTTTTCACCTTTTCATGGCTAATCTTTGAAAGAAGATACTATAAGTAGTATGCCATGTCAAACTGTTATGTTAAGGTGTTAAGTGTTATGTTTGTTAAACCTAGCTGATAAGTTAGTTTATAGATTTCAAGTGAATTTTGAGCTTATAGTTGATAACTTATGATTTATGGTTGAAAAACTAGTTTATATAATAAAAGTGCTTGGTAAAATTACTTGATAAGCTAGTTGAAATAAAAATTTTAATGGACTTATTAGAAAAACTAGTACGGTGCCCGTGCGATGCACGGAAAAATTTATTATATATATATTCTTTAAAAGATATTTTTGTATTTAAATTGTCTCATGCCATTAAAATTTCATGAAAATAAAATTTATATGTTATTAAACACTTCCTTATGTACAACATTATTGATTTGATTCTTTGGCACATAAAGTACTACATAGGTGTTCGAATTTATCCAAAATTGCATATTATTAGTTATTAGTTAACAAATTTTAAAAAAATTAAAGAAACAAAATTAAAGTAGAAAAAAAAAGTAAATTTTTTTAGGGATTTTCACCTATTATTTATTTTAAATCTAATTCTAAATTTTAATTAAGAAAAATTGAAAAGAATCATTAGTTAGTCCCGGAAATGAAATCGATTTTCTTACCAATAAACCGATTTCTTTTATCAAACAAATTGATCCGATTTTTTTTTAAACCAAATAAAAAAAATCATCAATTTTTCTTAAATATGAAATTAAATTTTCCTAACATTGAACCAATTTTTGTACCAAACAAATTGAATTGAAAATAATTCTAATAAAAAATTGAAATAAATTGTTAATGTTTATGCAACTGTCTCTTTCATACAGAAAATGATATGAACTTAACCAAAAAATAAAATGATATGAACTTACCAAAATCTCGGTAAAACATGGTTAAGAAAAAACATAAGAATCTAGAAAAATCGATGCATTTAAATTTTGAAAAGTTGCACATAATTTTTCCTAAATAATTGGATAAGGTGACTTTAAATATCAATGATGAACCGCTTTTGTTACCAAAAAATATGGACACAATTTTGAATGTACATCCCGTCCAAATATCAGTTTTATTTTAAAATAAAAATTACATGTGGCTTTATCCAATTTACACAATTTTTTTGGAAGAAAAAATTATTCAATAAGATCGAAAGAATTGGTTAAGAATTATACAACTATTTTCTTTCTAAATTTGTATCCAATTTCCACGGTTTTTAAATTAATTTGTATCTAGAATTGTTTTCTTAAATAATTGACACATTTTTTGCATAAGAATCTCCAAATTTGTTACCAAAAAAGATATGATTTAAATTTTGGTAAGAAAAAAGATGATACGAAAAATATGAGATTCAAATTTTGCCATAAGAATCTCCAAATTTGTTACCAAAAAATAAGATTTAGATTTTGTTACTAAAGATTCACATGTGTTTTTTTGAACTTTCTATTAATAGTAAGTCAAACATTATATTTATTTGGTCAAACTTTCTATTAATGTATTTTTCCAACAACCTCTTTATATATACTAGTACAGTACCCGTGCGATGCGCGGGAGTTTATTATCTCCGTCCCTTTTAAAAAGTAATTTCCAAATAAAATTCAAAGTACTTACTAAAGGAAAGATTATGTCATTAATAATTAATAAATTAACAAATATAATAAAAATAAAATCTATATAATATTGAACATTTATTTATATACAACGTTCATCGTTTAATTCTTTGACACGTCATTGTCGCCACAAATTAGGATTTTCAAACCATTTCTGTTTGTGACACAGAGACAACAACATACAATGACCATGACAAAATACTGGTTTCTTAAGAAATATGCCCACATGCAAATGATTATCCCTGACTCTAATTTATAGTCATGGCGTAAGAAACCATAATGGAAAACTGTCAACGCTAGAACTTGAAGGGAATTCTAACATCAGAAGAAAATATAGCCATTCTTGGAATCAATATATTATCACCTGCGTGATCACCAGTGAGTATGTTACACTCGAGAACGTGAGTGGAGAGCTTTGTCACAACCAATCGTGTCTCATTACACAGACCCAAAGAGGAGATATAGTTACAAAATATCAAGTTAAAAAAGATCGGATTAGCTTAAGAAATAAAATCATGCTTTTCAATCCTATTATTCAAACCTTTATCCGAGTACTTAGTTTTTTTCTAGATATATATTTGGAACAACCATTAGTAGTTTGGGTAGTGTAGATTATATAAATAAATAAAATATTGGTATAAAATATAAATTCAAAATTGATTTCGTCAGGTTTTAAGTTGAGTAGGATTTATTTTCTTAAATAATAAGATTATGATCGACTTCAGAAAATATGTTTATCCGTTTTTGTTAAAACAAAAACAAAAAATGTGCAACTTATTACATGTGACTCGGATTTTATCGATTATTGAAGATTAATATATGACATAATGTTTACCATAATTATTGGAGTTTGTTACAATTTAATTTGGTAAGGCTTTTTGAATTGATTGAAAAATAATATTTTTATTTTGATATGTATCATTTATAAAATCTCAAAATTTTTTCTGCAATATCTAACTCCAAACAATCCGAAAAAATTGTGAAATTTGTTACCAAAAGAAATCCCAAAGATTATCGACAATATATTGCATGTAAATAACTATGAAGTATGTTACCAAAAAAATCGATATTTTAAATGACTTTTTTTTATCAAAATTCGAGATTTGTTATCACAATCAGATAGAATTTGTTAACAAAATACCCGCTTGCAGCCCCTTTCGACCTTCCGGTCTGCTGTTCGTGTTCCGGGCTTCCGGACAGCTCACTTTCGGGCCCGGGCTGATCCTAGTCTTCACTTTACGGACCCGTTTTTGTACCGATTACACCTGAACGCAAACACACAGTTTAATGGTGATTAACGGCAACAATAATCGAGCAATTACACAAAGTAAAATGCTAAAGAATAGGAAACTAAGCAAAACGGGAATAAAAGAGAAGGAACGAAAGACTCCCTTTCATTTGCCGGTGGAGAATGGGAGACACGAAGTCACCCGGCTCAAATAGCCCTTCTTCCCGGAACCCTCGGCACAATTGCGGCTTGGTGGTGGTCAACGAATGGCGACCCTGGTTCCTCAGCCCGCACCCCGGGCTGCACCTCACACCCGAGCCCCGCACCCGGTCACCCCGTCACCTATGCTCACGTCTCACAAAAGAGACTCGCCTGGAAGCCCAAATAGCTCTAGCTGGCAATAGGAGCTCGGCGACGGAGCAACGGCACAGAGGCGGCACAACGGTGGCTCTCACGGCGTCACTCACAGTGGCTCTCACACGGGTGGTCACAAAGAAACAGATTAGTGAGAGAGAGAGAGAGAGAGGGATCGGTTTGGGCCGAATTTCCCAACATAAATCCCACATAAATTGATATTGATTTTGGTATGCACGGTATTGGTAAAGGAATTACAAAATCCTAAATAAATCAGATATATATCGAGATTGGTACAAAAAGAAAATAAAAAGGAATAATTGTTCATTAATAAATCCGATAACTTTGGTAAGGAAATATCGAGTATGAAATTTTTGAACAAAAAGAAATCCCACAAAATTTGGTTTCATTTGTTAACAACATTCCAACTAATCAAAGTTAAACAATTTATTTTTAAATCGGATCATATCATATCTCTATAGATTGATACAAATAACAAAATAAAAAGAAATACTTGCTAAAAAAATTGGTAACAAAATGCGTGCTAAAAAATTGGTAACAAAATCCGATAACAAAATAAAAAATCCGTGATAACGTGAATCCCACAAAATTCGAGTATGAAAACCGTGAACAAAATAAAAAATACCACAAAATTTGGACGATAATTGCATTACGTGATAAGGTGTTACAATTTTGATATTTAAAATCTCATGAATGTATGGGTCCCTTTCCTTATTTCCTAAATAAGTAAGTCAAAACATTATTTTTTAGGTCAACCTTACTATTTTTGTATTTTTTCAACAACCTCTTTATATTACTATAGACTAGTACATACCCCGTGCGATGCACGAGACAAAGATATTAAATGAATTATTTTCACACCCTTCTCCGTTTATGTCTAAAAAATAATAGAGTTATTATCTATTTTTTACCTCTTTTAATTAACGTTAAATCTAAAAAAACAATAGGGTTATTATAAGTTTTTTTCCACATCTTTTAACCAGCGTTGTTTTTTTTAGCAAGAACATTAAATATGAGAATGTTAAGGCTAGCTTGTAATTAATATATTATCTCAATAAAATATTTATTCTAATAAAAATTTAATTTTAGCATATAAATTTATCCCTTGATATAAGAGAAAGTAACAGTTTTACTTATTGTTGTTCAGTATATAATATTTAATTATTATTTTATAACATAATAAAAATAAATATTGTTAAATAGTGTAGTAGAATTGTTATAAAATTATATGAATTAATATCTTTAAAAGATTTGATAATATAACACTAATATATTCTTAATGATATAATAATATGAGATACGGATTTACATAATACTATGGATTTATTCCTTAATGTTAAGATATTGAATTAGGTAATATATGATTCACTAATTTGTAATATGTCTCTTTTTATATTGAAAATAATCATGTGATTGAGTAGAGATAACAATTATCTATAAATTCCTTCATTTAAGGAATAATTTTTAAATTGGTCCAAGTGTTGAATGCAGTCCGATTCTCTTGTAACTAAAATGAGAAGAGATTTTGAATTTCAAATTTTCACTTCAAAACCACACGTAAATTTGGATGCAGATTTTATTAAAAATAAAATGAGAAGAATTTTGAATTTCATATTCACTTTAATATCTGTCAAAATTCTCAAAAATGAATTCAACAAAATCCATAATTTTAGGGGCATTTAATGCTACC